ACATGCTCAATTCCCAGCATATCTCACTTGTAACTCTCTGATAGTACTCACAATTTGCTGCCTTGTTTTAAAGTTACTGGAATTATTTCCCCTACTAGACTATAAGTTCTATGGAGTAAGCAATTAATAAGTATCTTGATTGTACTTAATAAGTATCTTGTGGGGAAATACTGTTAACTCATACTGTTAACTCTTCAAATTTTCATTTACTGGTTTTAGCATCTATTGATAATTCTTGCTAGAAGCAATAACAGTTCTAATGGGTTTGCCAAATGGCAATTTTCCCCCTAGTTATGTCCTTTCATCTACATTTATAAATTGATTTTCTATAGTAAAGAAGAATTTACCTTTCTCATTCATTCATGATTTATTTATTTACATTAATCTGGATTCATGGATTCTTACTTTAGTCAATAGGTTATAATCCTTTATTATCATTATTTATTTTGATGCTCAAATTGTCCCAGATTTGGTTATGGAAGCTCCTTCAAGCTGACTTCTATGTCCTTTTAACATGTCTACACAATTCTTTGATTTCTTCCTTACTTTTTGATAGATTAAGATGTTCCAGGCTCACCTTATTCTATCTCTAATAGTTCATCCTGGAACCAGCCTTTCTCGAAGAAGCCCAAGTTGCTTTTACTAGAAAATGGTGTTTAGAAACCAAGGTCTAGGTAGGTCCTGGGTGTGCTTTTTGCTCCAAATGTGTTATTGCTTCTAGGATCTCTCACAAGACAGTTAAACAGATGAAGGTCTGTACACACACACGCTACACAAACACACGCACATGCATGCGCGCACACACACTTATATTCATTTCTATATATCTAGCTATCTACATATATTAAACCCCGTGAGTTCACACTGATTCAATTCCAATTCATTGCTACAGGGTACCTTCTACTCTTTCCCCTTTTTATATATGAAACCTCCTCTTCTCACAGAGAGAAATCTGGCTGCCACTATCCATAATATATATTTACTTACTTGCTCCATCCTAAAATGTACAGCAATTGCTAACCCATGCCTCTGTGTAAAAGCAATCTACTAAGTATAGTTCAATAATAGTTTAGAGCTCTTTTTGTTTTTAGCCTGAGGGAGGGCGTGTAGTTCAAATACTGTGTTCACAAGTTACTTAGTCTCCCCAATTCCCTTCAGTATGTTTATGTTATTAATTTGAAATATAGTTTGCTTCATTTGTTTCTATTTGTATTCAATATTAGGACCCCTCACCCTTGTTAATTACATATATAGATTCTTGCCTATGTGAAATCTTAACATAGTTCCAAAAGTAAGTGCCACCTTCTCCTCAGCCCCCCACTTTTACTTGTTTACTCCATTTTCAACAATGCCCTGTAGGTACTGAATCTCATTGATTTCTGCTTTATTCTCCCTTTGTGCATTTTTTTCTCACTTGAGCAGATACATGTACATATTTTAATTTCTTCATCTTTCTTATACAAAAGGTAGCACAATAAAGATATTCCTTTGCCCAATTCACAAGGATCTGATTATTTCTTTTTAACCTGTCACGAATGAGAAGTTCAGGAAACCTCTAAATCCATAGATATCAAAATTAAATTTTCTTTGTGAATTATATATATCTTAAAAGGTATAAATTAATTTATTAAAATGAAATGGTCAGAGTACAAGTGTCTCCTAAATTGATTTTAGCAAAAAAATAAAATAATTAATAAAATTCCATAGTTCTCCCACTATTAGCTTAGTATTTCATTAACTCTAGAGTAACATATCAAGAAAACGCAGCAGGAACTGTGTTAAAAAATTAATGATTTAGCCCGGCCGGGCGTGGCTCAGCGGTTGAGTGTCGACCTAGGATCCAGGCGATCGGGGTTTGGTTCCCGATCAGGGCATGTGCCCGGGTTGTGGGCTCGATCAATGACTCTCTCATCATTGATGTTTCTCTCTCTCTCCTTCTCCTTTCCTCTCTCTGAAATCAATAAAGATATATATTTTTTTTTAAAAAATTAATGATTTAATAATCAGACAATTGTAAACATGTTAAGCTAGTGTGAGTTCTTGATACACTTTCATTTTCTCATTGGGGTTGTCTTCTGCTGTTTTTTTATTTTTATAGATTTTTTTTTTAATTGATTTTACAGAGAGAGGAAGGGAAGGAGGGGAAGAGAGGCAGAGAAGGAGAGGA